CGTATGAGGATATGAATAGCACAATAAAGGGGAGAAACAACAATAATCAGTTTTTCCCAGTGTGCCAAAATCAGGGATCAGATCTTATTTCCCCAATCTTTTAACTGACATTAAACCAGAGTTTCCTGGCTGAAATGTAGCGAAGGGGCGTTGGATTTATAAAAGCATAGATTTTCACGTGCTCAAGTTGGCCCTGACTTGGAGTGATGTGAGGAAGGAAAGAGTGTTGGTCCTCTGGCTTGCTTACAGCTTCATAAACCATAAGTCAAACCACAAGGCCTAAAGTGAGTTTATAGACATGAAAGTAAACTTCTGGCCAGTTTCCTTATATTCCTGTCATCTAGAAAGGACATTAGAATAAAATAATCTTACTCTGGTTGTCATCAGCCAGCTGACCTTTAGGGTACTTGCCACAGTAAATCTGTGTTCCAGTTGTTAAAGGACAGCACTGAAACCCTAGCTTTCAGCAAATGTCACCGTCAGATAAACAATTTAACATTTATAATGTCTCTTACATCTAATGCTTCAGGTTTCACCTGCCTACACATAGCATACATGCACGAACACAACAGAGCTTGGAAAAGTTACACTTTTGAAATATAACTCCCAAAATACCCCTGTCAGCATCTGGCTAACAGCTTTTGGTAGTTATAATTCCAAAAAAGTAACTTTTCCAAACTCCAGCTCTTGGACATTAATAGGTAGCATAATGTGCTACCTAGTTTAGAGCTTGAAATAATTACTTCCTTGGATTACCATTCCCATCATGGCAAATAACCAGCTCTGAGCTGAATGTAGAAAGGATCTTCAAATAATGATTTAAAGCTGTTTAATCTATCTTGGTTTGTTTGGTCTCGTGGTTCCCCATTAGAACATAAGCGGAAGCTCTGGTTAATTGTTTGTTTGTTGTAAATTTCTATATTTGCACAAAGAAGCAACAAAGCAGGAGTGAAGGCTGCTGTGTTGTACTTTGCTTGTAAATATTGTTGCCTTTTTATAGCCAGACATTTTTGACTTGTTTGCAAATATGACCAAGTTTCTTTCTGTCAACATTTTGCTTTTTTTAAATGTATGCTTCTGCAACTATTTAACATGATCCTGCTGTATTAAAAAAAAAGATGTAAGCCTTAGAAGTATTCTCAAGAGAAAAAGTGGAATTAGGCAATACTGCAGCTGCTCTCTGAACTATGTTAAGTGGGATTATAAAATACTTCTTTGCTTGTTTTTCTGCAAATCATTTTTGTGTCCGTTCTTTTTCTTCTATAAGAGCATTTGAGAATTATTTACTTAAAAAATACCTTTGCCACCTTTTCATGGTTTGTTGTGTGCACTGTGTGTGTGGGAGACAGCAACAGTAACATGGATATTAAACTGTTAGCTCTGCAAACCATAAACCAACCAACAAGGTATCCTGTGTAATGTGTGGCTTACGCAGATGCAAAAGGAGGACAGATCCGCAGTTTACAGACATGCTGTTGTCTCAGATATGAATTCCCCATGTAGGACGCAGAGATTCAGGCTGAACAAAGGCAGCTTGTGAATAGAACTGGTTTCTCAGAGTAGGCTTCAACTGGAATGAATAAAAGGAACAAGTATTCTCATAGGGTGATGGTAGCAAAGCCTTGCCTTTCCAAGAAGAGTCCAGAAGTTTGGTTCCTATAGTCAGAAGAATGGAATGATAGAAATAACTTTGTCATTTGAGATTGCAGGCAGATTGATGTGAGGGTATGGACAATTCTCTCCTGTAGTTCAACAGACTGCACAGAGCTCTCTAAAAGAGAATTTTAAGGACCTCTTTGTTGTTTAGTTGTTACGTCGTGTCCTACTCTTCGTGACTCCATCGACCAGAGCACCCCAGGCCCTCCTGTCTTCCACTGCCTCCCGGAGTTGGGTCAGATTCGTGTTGGTAGCTTCAACCATCTCGTCCTCTGTCGTCTCTTTCTCCTCTTGCCCTCACATTTTCCCCACGTCAGGGTCTCTTCCAAGGAGTCTTCTCTTCTCATGAGATGGCCAAAGTACTGGAGCCTCAGCTTCAGGATCTGTCCTTCCAGTGAGCACTTGGGGTTGATCTCCTTCAGAATGGATAGGTTTGTTCTCTTTGCAATCCAGGGGACTCTCAAGAGTCTCCTCCAGCACCACAATTCAAAAGCATCCATTCTTGGACCTCATTAAGCTGCAGATTACTTCTGTAGGATAGATGCATACATTTTAAAGTGACATCAAACAGTTATAATTGTGTCTGTATGCTGAGCGTTCTTCCTTAGAATGAAGCATTATGGGGTGAACTGTTTGTAAATAGGCTGTACATGTACCTCTGCTACGGCCCAAAACCTGTCGAAAGTTTAAGAATGTAAGCAGAATTTACCACTCGGACAAGAGAGCAATGGTGTGGGTGCCTGTTCGGGCTCTCTGGACAGTTTTATGCCATCACTACATATTATGTCTTCAGGCTGGGGAACGGGATGGCAAAAGGAGCAAATGCTACTGTGGCTACAGTCAGCCTCCAGCGCTAGGGAGCTGGCAGCAGCTGGGTTCCCTGGCACAAACTCCCATGGACTCAACTTCAGGGTGCAAACACGTGGACGCTTTCTTCACAGTTGCAACACAGCCTTGTCGGATCCTTGCACTCTGGAGGAGTACAGGTTGAGGGACATTCAGTGGGTTTCTCAGTTAAGCTCACCGAGTGTCCCCACAGCTTTCGTCTGCCGAACTTTGCCCAGCTCAAAGAAAGTTTGAACTGTCCTTGACAGAGGCATCCTGTTCTCCCCCAACCCTTCCCCAATCCTTGCCTGTCCAGGATGCTGACCAGTGAAGGCTGCACTGTCAGTTGTCCGTTGGGCAGAGGGGAGTTAATGCCACTCTCCCAGATCCATCTGTTAGGTAATAACCTCTGGCCCCAGACCCCTTCTCCTTCCTCCTCCTCTTCTGTCGACCAGCAGCCTCCTAAAGCCCTCTCTTCACTCTCCTTCATCAGACTTCTGGCTGCTTCTGACCGGTGTTCCACCTTAAGTTACCATACCTTCCCTTCCTCTTTCCTTGGGCCTTAGCCTTTTTCCCCTGGCAGTCATCTTAAAGGAGCCCAGCAGCTCACCGTGAGCATGCCTGCTATCTGGCACACTCACCCCACCCCAGTTACCCAGCCAGGGGCAGTTGTGTTGGGGCAGAGAGGCAACGAAACAGACAGCCACCGGAGCACTGTTGCTAGAGCACAGCAGGTAGTAAGACATTGTACATCAGCCGTGATCCCTGGTGTCTTCTAGCTCGCGCAGGTAGCAGATGAAGAGGTATTGAGTCCTGACAATGTTCAGCCTCAAAACAAAGGCACGTAAATCAAATTATCAAATTCACCAAATAGCAAACAAGAGAGATCCGCTTGTCACGTTGAGAGAGCATATCTGGATTTTTATTACTTGGTGCACGTCTATCCCAAGGAATGTATGCTCCCTCCAAGAGAATGCCCAGTTGTAGCTTTCTGCTTAGGTTTAATGGGAAGGTCTTACTTCTCCATCTCTCTAGCCCACCTTGGTAAAGTGTCTTTACAGTCTGTTTTCAAGGCATTTTGGAAGAAATGGCTCAGTCATTGGTAAGGATTTCACTTTTCAGTTTTATGCAGAAGAGGCATCTTGGCACTATGAGAGAGGAAAATATTTATTCCTGTTCCCTGTGTCCTGGTAATTGCATTCATCTCTGAGCGTGCCCGCCTGTTCTTTAGATTTCAGTGTATGTATCTGAGGCTAGCTCTTCTCCTCCTCCTGCTGCTTATGTCTGCTTCTCATCTTCTGCACCGTTCAAGTCATTTCATGAACACGAAGCTTCATGAGGCCAGAAACAGGTCTCCCTTTGAGTGTTGTTTAAATGTGGAAATCGATTCTGGCAGTTGACTCATTTACTGTATATAAAATTCTTGTTAGAACTATTGTTAAGCTGGTTAACAGTGTAAAAATAGTAACTAAAGCATTCTTTATACACTTGTACACAAACTCACACACAGAGACACCATGTTGTTTTTTTAAAGAAAAAAGTTAATGAAATAAAACTAAAATAAGAAGCAATATTTGGGTTTTAATAATTGATTGCCTTATCCTAACCATGGTTCTAAAAGCAGCTTCTTTCTCCCAAAATTGAATTAGTAAGAATACATTTTCAAAGTTTTAGAATATTTATATACGTGTTATCTACATATGCAATGATCCTGTAAAGTAGTTTGGTGTTATCTCCATAATACAGAATGTTTTGGGCATTATGTATTACGTATTCATAAAGGAAGTAGCTTATTGCATGTACTTCACTGGAGGAAAAAAGGAAGCTGTATTAAAAGTAAGCAAAACAAGGTTAGTATTAACCTGAAACAAGTATACATTCTGTATACTTAAATATGTTGATCTGCTCATATCTGGGCTGAGATCTGAAGCAGCAGCTTCCAGAGGATGGTTTGTGGTCTTAGCCATTACACTGGCAGAGCCCTATTTAACCCTTCTTCCTTAGCAAAACCTCCTGAAAAATTAATGCAATTCAATATTGCTTTTCAAAGTCCATATCTTCAGAATATTTTGAAATGATGGGAATGAGTAAAATGTCTGGGATTTTTTGCACAAAATTATTTCCATTGATTTCTTGCATTGAATTATTCTCATTCTTGGCTGCATATTATTGTTGTTTTGTTTATCTGGGCCTGATTCCGCCCCACGATATGTTCTATAAACATGAAAATTAAAACAGCTGAACAAACAAAACAAAATCGAACAGTTAAAAACAAAAACAAAAACAGAAAAGTCCAAATTTATTGTGGAGGTAGGAAGAGAGGAACAATTGTTTGGGTGCTTGGCTTGTAGGAGAAAGAACTGGCTTAGGAAAAGAGAGGGAGGGCTAAATAGGGGGCCACGTGGACCCTCACCATTGCAATGCTTAACTGACCCAATGATTCTGTGAGCTATCATTAGGCTTGCATAGCATCTTCATGTTTGCTTACCTTGAATACATTCTTCCTTTTTTCCCCCCAGTGAAGTACATGCGAGAAGCTACTCCCTATGTGAAGAAAGGCTCACCCATTTCAGAAATTGGATGGGAAACACCTCCACCAGAATCGCCCCGATTGGGAAATGCGCCCACGGATCCCTTGTCGCACCTCTCTCTCTCCATACACCGAGATAAGAAGACAATCCCACTCAAAATGTGCTATGTTACACGGAATATGGCTGTGTCGGATCCTGAAAACCGGTAAGAAGGGTAGGTAGGTGGGAGACAGAAGGTCTTTGTCCATTTCAACTGCTTCTTGGGCACAATTTCTAATGCCATGAACATTGTCCTTTCAAGAGAGTCCCCTCTTAAACCCACAGGGTGCCCTAAAAGTCCTGATCTTGAAATGTGGATGGGGAGTTTGAGTCCCAGCCGTGACCAAAGACCCTTCAAAGACAGGCGGTAGAGCTGAGTGAGGCTTTAGAATGGTCCCGGCTCCTTGAGTTTTCTCTGTCTCTTGCACCAGTACTTTCATCACCAGCATTGTGGCTGGTTCGGAGCGGGTGCTGCTGTTCTTATTGGACAACTTGGGAGCCCAGGTCATCTTAGCAGTTCAGTAGACTTATGAAAGTGAAGGCAAGAGGAGAAAGGGACGACAGAGGACGAGATAGTTGGACAGTGTCATCGAAGCGACCCACATGAATTTGACCCAACTCCGGGAGGCAGTGGAAGGCAGGAGGGCCTGGCGTGTTCTGGTCCGTGGGGCCACGAAGAGTCGGACACGACTTAATGACTAAACAACAACAAAGACTTATGGAATACTGGCCCTAGCGTCCCTTGTCCATGGCCCCTTCCTCTATCCAATGGGTGAGGCTCAGGGACTTCAGCCCAGCGCTTCTCTTTCCAGTCAATGTCACCTTAATTGAGGCAAAGAATTGGGGATCCCAGGCCTGAACAGCCTTTTTGCACAACTCCTCCTCCTCCAAAGTCCCCATCTCTCCCTGTTTCCCTGAAGGAAGCCCCTGAGTCCTTCTGGACATCTTCCTTTATCCTGGTCTCCTGCTCTCCACCTCACAGCTAGCCCTTCTCAGCCAGCTCCCTCAACATTGATTACCTTTTCCTGCTGTGGCCTAAGCACCAGCACCAGCAGTGGCCTGCTCACAACCTTTCACTGTCCCTGACCATTTGCTAGGTTGGTTGACAAGACTAGCAGTTGTATCCAGTAATATCTGGGGACCTAGTTTGGAGGAAAACTGATCCGGTCCTTGATAGGGCTGTTGTTTCATTAAAAACAACATACAGAAGGGGAATTCATCGAGTGGTGCCTTCTGTTTTCACTGCACCTTTGCCTCTTGGCTAGCCCAAAGGGGCATGAATGAGAGAAGGAAGACTATCATGTATCCATTTTCAGAAGATAACCCATCCTTTGCCTGGGAGATTTTTTGACTTGCAGGCAAGAGAAAGATAGAGAGACTGGGGGAAATGAATGATGCATGAAACTTCCATGGCTCTTTACATTTGCTGCCTAGTGCTAAAAATAGGGTGAGCTTATTGACCCTTATTTATTACATGTGCAGAACCAGCTGCATCACAGCGCACGCGTGCGCGACAATTGGCTCCTTTTACAGTTTCTGTCCAAAAAAGAAATGAAAAGGAAACAATGGAATGAAAGATGGGGTTGTGGTTAAGGCAGAACATCCTCCCTTTCACAGAATGGTCTTCTTGTTCGTTTCCAATATGGGGGCTTCTAAACAAAATTGGCTTGAAACTTAATTGGCTTTCAACACTTCACTGCATGAGAGACGCAAAAGCTGAAGCATTTTCCATTTTGGGGAGGGCAAGGAAAGCATAAAACAGCTCCCCCCCCCAAGGACTTTACTAGTTCAACAGCTGCATATTACAGATTTTTAGGGTATATTCTCGCCATTTCAAAAATCAGTGTCTAATGACTGCTTAAAGACCCATGCCAAGTTTAACAAACCAAGTAAGAAGGAACGATGGAAAGTGGCAGTCTTTTCCCCAGCCCTGCATAGTCCCGCTCCACAGATCCATAATACTGACACTTCCAAAGCTTTGTTGTCTGTGTGCCAAAAAAGAAGCACTACCCAGCATCCACAGCCAGCATTAGAGGTGTACATGTTTTTGCCTTTGGACTAGCTGCTTGGGGAATTCTGGAAGTTGTACTCCGAAAGTACACATCTGCACACTGTGTCGTCATTCATTGGTAGCCTTCACCTTTAGTGGCTAAGCAAATGATGGACGTATGGATGGAGCTGTTTTCTTCTAATCCATTGTCAAAGCTGTTGCCACGAGTGGAACATGATGGGTCCAGGATGTTTTTCCAGATGAGGCCCTGCTTTGTCCCTTGTTTTCCAGAATTCACTGTGACCCTCAGACATGGAGAAAGGGGGCTGCTGGTGTAGCTCTTGTCCCTTTCACATTTGAGGCAATGCAGTCTGTTGATAAATCTTACACTATCATGATTGCCCTTTGCAGTTAGCAGGAAGTAAACACTATTGCGGCTCCCACGCATTAAGATGGTTTAACTGTGCTTGTATCTCCTGTTTCCTGTGGAAACTGTGAGTCTGTAAGTGATAGTCTCTGGTCAACATCAGAAAGTTTTACCCTGCTTTACCCTGTGTTATATTCCACCCACTCACCCGCTGCCCCATAAGAAAGGACAACTTCTTACCAATATTTTCCACAGTGACTCTGTGGGTTGTGTTGCTCCTCTAGATCTGAACATCCTTGCAGAACGTCTTAATGCTGGTTAAGATGTGAACAGTCCCCTTGTTAATAAAGAAATGGTGTGATATATGTGGATGAATATCAAAAAAAAAGGGGGGTCATCATGCTCAAATGTTTGGGAACCCTTGATCTAGGGGGCTACGTATCCCCTGTTCTGACTCTAGGAATATGGAAGAATAATTTTTAATGGTCCATTTAAGGCTCTGTTCAGTTTGGGATCAGGCTCTGGGGAGATAGAAGTGTAGGTGGGATATGCAAGTTCGGACGTTATGCCAGGGGAGTGATTCCAAGAGGAACCCACCCAGTGAAATCCCAAACTTTGGCATCAAACCAACTGATTTGTACAACTGATGCAAATAATATTGCTTAATCTGCATAATGTTCTTGGCACAGAACTTGAATTTTTGTCTTGCATCAGTGCCTGGTAGCATACCACGCTGTTCCTAAGAGGAGAGCACTGCTATTTTAGAACACTATTCCCAACAAATGCAAGCTCTTTCTAGCAGTACAGCTTGGTCATGTCCATAAAAGCTAAACCTGCTGGTTGGCAGAGTCTAAAGCAAAGCTATGTACATAATAATATGTCTGGAAGTTGTCTTGATAGCACTTTGAAGTATGGTTGCATCCATATATGGGTATGAGCCTTTTTTGGGTGGCCCCATCTGAAATGGCCATGGTACAGTATCTCCATAGGGATGTGTATGTGTGTGTTTAGAGAGAGAGAGAGAGAAAGAGAGAGAGAGAGGATTGTGAACCTATGTGAAAAAAAATCTTATGTTTATTTGATAGGGCATGAAAACAGAATCTGAATTCACCCATACTAAAGGGTGTTTTGCTAGCTTTAAAATAAAGCATTTAAGGTAAACTAAATGTGAAAAGAAGTTCAGGAGCAAATGTTTCTTGGACGAAGCACTTGGGAAACTGGTTTGGATATAGAACAGCATTGTTTCATGTTTTGTTCATTCGTTTAGTCGTTTAGTCGTGTCTGACTCTTCGTGACCCCATGGACCAGAGCACGCCAGGCCCGCCTATCTTCCACTGCCTCCCGGAGTTGCGTCAGATTCATGTTGGTTGCTTCGCAGACACTGTCCAGCCATCTCATCCTCGGTCATCCCCTTCTCCTCTAGCCGTCACACTTTCCTAACATCAAGTTTTTGTGCCAAGGAGTCTTTTCTTCTCATGAGATGGCCAAAGTACTGGAGCCTCAGCTTCAGGATCTGTCCTTCCAGTGAGCACTCAGGGTTGATTTCCTTTAGAATTGATAGGTTTGTTCTCCTTGCAGTCCAGGGGATTCTCAAGAGTCTCCTCCAGCACCACAATTCAAAAGCATCAATTCTTCGGCGGTCTGCTTTCGTGTTTTGTATCTAAAGTCAAAACAGTCATGATGACATCTAGCTAGGAGGAGGAGGAGGGAGAAAATAAAGAGTAGAAGGTCTACAAATCTAGTCTTATCTCGATCATGAAATCAGGCTGGATTTACATGATTTTCATACAGGTTGATGGTCTGAGCTTGTCTGCCAGAAGGTAGTCCCAATGCTTTATAACATTGTCAATCCCTGATATCTTTTCAGCTTGCATCAATATCAGTGGCCTACTTCATGCCCACTGAACGAAACTTTTGTTCTGATATTGGAAATTTCAGTATGAATTACAAATACAGGGTTTGGGGCAGCATGTATCAAACCTATGGACACTTTTCTTTCTGTCCAAATACAGCCTGTACTGGGCTGCAGCTGTTTCTTCTCCCAGCTGACCTCAATCAGATAGCAGATGGTGGAGAACACCATTTATATATATAAGGAGAGAAGGGTACATATGTTTGTGCTTTTTATACTTGCAGTTAAGACTGAAAAACGTTTAAACTGTTTCCTCCACTGTATAAGATTATAAAAGTATTTGTGCATTTTTGGTGTGTTTGGGGACTTATCTAGGGAAAAAAAACCCACCGAAGTTGAGTTGAAAATACAGAATCTTGTATATTCCATAAAACCTTTATATGTTGAGTTTTAAAATATGTGTTTTTCACAAAATGCAAGATCGCCAAACACAAGCTTTTGTTTTACATAAAATTCCCTGTGCAGAATAGAGGGGTTTAGTTTGTTTTGCTAGCTAAGGCTGCTGTGCAAAACTTAAAAAAATTACATTTTTTAAAACTTTCATGCATGATTGAAGTCTCTCAGTGGTTGACAGCTTTTTCAATGGGTTGTTTTAATGCGTCAAGACACTTTTTCATGGAGGACCAGAAAAATGTTGAATACTGGAGTGGATGAACAGACAGTTGGGCTATAAGGCCGCTTCATAATATGAACTGTAATTAATAAAGACGAGGGAGAAAAACGAGGTAACAGCAGTTTCTCCCTTCCATCTCTCTTCTCAGTCCATAATGAGGTTCTCTATTAGTTCCCACCCCCCTTTCTCTACAATTAGCTTAAAAAGCAAAAGCTTTCAAGAAGTGCAGCAAAAACAGGCTACCAAGGTGCTGACATTTGCTTTTTCAGTGAACTCTCATCTGCAAATAAGTCACTTCGTCTTTCTTCAAGAGGGACCACTGATCCGCAGTAGAACACTCAGTTTCTCATGCTGTCTTAACTATGATAAGTTCCAACACAGCTTGTGCCCAGCCAACAGGTCTACAATAAACTGCAATTAAGTGGAAGGGGAAGCTTCTACTATTGCACCCAGCCATAAGGAAGGAGAGAAGGGGCAATGCAGGAGCCTTGCTTGGGCTGTTGCTTATTCTTCCTTGTATTCATGGTACTTGTTCATTATAGTTTGGTTGTAACAATTGGACATGCCAAGTCATTCTGTTTCAGCTCCCACATCTAAGAAAAGATGAACCTGATCCCACCAGATCTATGTGCTAAATGCATTTTACTCAGTGCCTTGCTTAAAAATGACATTCAGAAATTAACGATGAGGAAAATGCTGTTGTTTGGACTTCACGTTAGGTTGGGCTTGACTTACAAGAGAGTTGTGAGACATCCGTTGATGTCGATGTGTTGGGTTACTTGAGATCATTTAAAAATATGTTCTGCCATGTTTGGCAGTAATTAAACAGGCACACTTGGAAACGGTATCCACTTTGTCCTGGTATGATTAGTTAGTATGGTTTCTCCATAGTGGAGAAAGAAATTAAGCTGTGAATCGGTTGTCGGTAAGAAAATTGGCCTTTAACCTTGTGTAAAGTTAATATCATTTTTTTCTTTATTTAGAGGAGGGTTGGGGGATTGGTCCAGGTCACCCTGTGAGCCAGAAAATGCACCAGACGCATTCACTGATGTCAGGAGAATGGCTACTGCCTAGCATGAAGGCTGTGGCCACAGCCCTATGATTTCTTCCTGTAATCCAGACGCTGGCTGGAGGAAAATCCATTCACTGTTTTTCCTGGGAAACAGGCTTTACCTTTCCTCCACCCTCCTTCAACAACTCAGGATTCAGCCAGCTCTAAAAACACTACCTGCAAATGCTTTGGCTCATCTTTATAATTCCTATACGGGGAAACCCAAGATGAAAGCAAAATGAGCTCCTCATAGTTGCAGACCCACAGCTCCTATCTCAGCTCCTTCTTGCCCTATATCACCTCTGAGCAGGCCGTGTTTGGGGATGTAGTGGCCAGGGATCCTACATAGGCCAGATTAAGAAGCCTAGATTAGATCCGTGGACCAGAGAGTCTTTTCCTCTGTTGTGATTTCAAGGATAATGACCGTAGGAAGTTTCAGCAGCTAGAAATTAGACTAGAGCATTTAGAAAGAGTTGAGCAGGAATGGCCATTTTGTCTTTTCAGTTTCCATGGTAGAACATGATATTTTGGAGACTTCAGTGACTATTTTGTAAGCAGAAAAAAGGAATGGTGGGAGAATTCTATTGGCAACCAGGCTTTTATAGAAACAGGTCCTTTGTTGTTGTTCAGACCTTAGCCAAATTGACTTTGAGACCATGTGATATTCCTTCATATGCACGGCCAAGCCAGAAGAAGAATATACATGATGTAAACTATCTCGTGCTTAAATATATAATTCCTTGGGGTTGGTGTGGGCTTTATTTAAAAAAAGCCTATTCCATATGCAGTGTTTACATAACTGTGGTGGGGTGTGTGAATAAACACAGCTGTGAGACTGTCTGAAATATTTCCATGCAAGCAGGAATTAAAAAGGGGAATTTTATCACCAAATTGCAGATAAACATAATGTATGTTCAAAAGCCGGTTTGGGACAAAAAAAAAAGACATCACAATTTGGAGAATTAAACACAGGAATTCTCCTTTCAGTTGACAACTTTCATTAAAGACAGAATGTACACACAGCACATCTGTGACTACATCCAGGATACGTGGAACACTAGATTGAAGTGGTCTTCCATCACAGAGATGTCTGTAACTAGTGATTTAGTAAGCTGATCCTTAAAAGCAAGAGAGAGCAGTTGAAACTTTAGGAATCTGAACTATAATGGTGCCTCGCAAGATGAATTTAATTCGTTCCGCGGTTAATGTTGTCTTGCAAAAAAAAAAATCGTCTTGCGAAACGCGTTTTCCCATAGGAATGCATTGAAATCTAATTAATGTGTTCCTATGGGCAAAAAAAAGTCAGAACAAAGTCAAATTTGGTTTATAAAGAGTTTATTAAGTGCTCTTTAAAGCCATACATATTATGCAGATGATTTAAAAATTTCAGACAAAAAACTTTAACTTTTTAAACATCATAGAAAAACATTTAAAAATCAGCAAACATGAGGCAAGAACAAAAAACGGAAAACATTCTTCTTGCAAAGCACGACCATAGGAACATTTGTCTTGCTAGTCATCAACCCCATTGCCAAAACCATTTGTCTTGTGAATTTTTTGTCCTGCGAGGCACCACTGTACGTTTTCCAGGAAAGAGAAAATGGAAATATGTTGTTTTTCCCACTGAGAAAATTTCAGTTGCAAACTTTCTCTCTTCCCTTCTTTTTTCATGTATCATTCTGTAAAGTATTGTGTTTGTTGATCATGCTGTGTAAATTTATCCCCTCGGCTGAGAATATTTTTCTTGAGTGCCTTATATACAATGGCCTAACAGTGATGTAATAGAAATCTGTGTTTCCTGCTATATCAAGAGTGGGAAATATGTGGCCTTCCAGATTTGGTTGGATTTCTATCCCTGTTGACCCTCATTATTGACTAAACTGCGTAGGGTTGATGGAAATTGTGCTCTGACAACAGATAGAGAAGCAGACATTTTTCACCCAGAGTAATAGGAATGAATTCTGGTCAGCCTTTGGTTTGTAGGCTTGCCATTCTCCTCTTAATGTGGGATAGAGATGTAAAATTTCCAAAAATTTCCATTATTTCCAGAAACAATGCCCCCCTTTTCCACCCAAGAAAAAGGGAAATTTTCAGAAATTTTACATCGCCCCCTTTTCCACCCCAGAAAAAAAGGAAATTTTCAGAAATTTTACATCTTTAGTGTGGGCAAGGAATCATACAATTCCTATGATTGTAGGAAATCAGAAGGCCCATGGTTCTTAGCCTTTGTTCCTCTAGATATTTTGGACAAATTCCCAGTATCCCATACTGTTGGCCATGCAAGCTGCAACTTTTGGGAATGGAAGTCCAAAAACCCTGGACTTGGTGTGTGCAGTGTCCAGGTTGGATGGTTAGATACAAACACCTCTGGACCTTGGAGGACCATTATTGCCCTTTACATATAGTCCTGGCTTCTCAAACAGAAGACGCCTTTGCCTTCTGTCATGTGACAGCGCTTCAGGATCCCGGGTCCTTTTCTGACCGCCCTTGGTCTTCAGTTCTCCAAGCTAGGTCTCCTTCAAAGACTTCCACATTCTTTCAAAAGACTTGTCTTCTGCAGTGCTCATCATCATTTTGAATCTCCTCTCAACCTGTTCTGATTTCTCATTATCCTCATTAAAGTGATGGTGCTGCGGGTTAAACTGCAGAAGCCTTTGTGCTGCAAGGTCAGAAGACCAGCAGTCGTAAGATCAAATCCACACAACGGAGTGAGCTCCCGCCCCTTGTCCTAGCTCCTGCCAACCTAAAAGTTTGAAAGCATGTAAAAATGCGAGTAGATAAATAGGTACCACCTCGGTGGCAAGGTAACAGCGTTCTGTGTCTAGTCACGCTGGCCACGCGACCACAGAAACTGTCTTCGGACAAACACTGGCTTATGGCTTGGAAACAGGGATGAGCACCGCGCCCTAGAGTTGGCCACGACTGGACTAAATGTCAAGGGGAACCTTTACCTTACTGAATGGATACTACATGTCAGATGAAATCTGACTAGGGTAAACTATTGAACCTATGAGAATATGGATCTACTACATCACATGATTTGTAAATTAAGTTTCTGTTAATACTAAAGTCTTTAAGTTTCTGTTTCTGGAGTACAACTTCCAGAATTTCTGAGGCAGCAAGACTATGTTGCCTGGTAAATTCTGGGAGTTGAAATCCAGAAACACACATTTGGACATATATAGTTAATGCAGTCAAAAATCACATCGGCCTATTTTGCAGCCCCATTTCACATCTGGCTCAAGTCACAATGAAAACATTCCACAAGCAGCCTCATCTCTTTAAACCCCAGGACTTCTCTGAAAGCAGTGTTGGAAGAGGCAGTTTGCAATGAAGTATCAGTGATCCCTAACCTTCCCGAGTATGGGATTCTGGGAGCTACCTTTCAGAAAAGAAACTTTTCTACATTTTGTTCTAAATGGTGGTGGATAGCATCTCTGTAAAACCAATGTCTAGATTACAGTTTCAGAGTTGATGTTACGGTTCATGTTCTTGTAAACAATTGTATATCTGGATTAATGTGTTTTTCATTGATTTTGAGAGTCAACAAAATTTTTCATCTTGTTTTCCTTGTCTATTTTTCTTCTCCAGGCTTGTTGAAGTTCATTCTCCTGATGCCAAGCATACTCTGGTTTTGAGGAGCAAAGATTCTGCTACAGCCCAGGCATGGTTTCATGCTATTCACTCCTGCATCAGTGACCTCATTCCAAAGGTCATCTTGGAGGTCAAAGATCAACTGGGTAAAGCAGGACTTGCTGGGAGCCGAGAGATTCGGCATCTAGGATGGCTTACAGAAAAGGTAACAACATTTTATTTTTAAATTCAACTGCTGTCCTGATGTTCTTAAAGCTGTCTGTGGAGCTTGATCACATTGAGACTGTTTTGTTTCAATTGAGCAGAATTTGTTTTGGTTCAGTTTATGCCCCATTCTTCCATCTTTGGTTCACAGTGGTGAATTCATATAATCCCATTCACACTTAGATTCTTTTCACACACTTTTCAGTGTATACAATAAACAGGTAGAAGGTTGGGAGGACTGTGCACCTTGAACCACCAAACATTGCTTTACATATTAAACGTATCTTTGTGCACACCATTGTGTTAAAATTCACACTTACCCCTAATTTGTTAGCATTTGCAAGAATAAATGGAAAATTAGTTCTTTTAATTTATTAATGGTCAGTATCCTGTTTAAATCACCAGACACATAATGGCCATGGCAGAATAAAATACATATATATGATCCTTTTCCCTAAACCAAGAAAAGCAAATAGAGGCAAAAAATATAGTCAAAGTCTCCCCCTTCTTCAACCCCTCTAGAATATAGAGATTTCCTTACTGTTCTTTTTGTTGTTTAGTCGTTAAGTCTTCTTCAACTCTTCATGACCCCCCATGGATCAGAGCACGCCAGGCCCTCCGGTCTTCCACTGCCTCCCAGAGTTGGGTCAAAATCATGTTGGTTGCTTCGATGACACTGTCCAACCATCTCGTTCTCTGACATCCCCTTCTCCTCTTGCCTTCACACTTTCCCAACATCAGGGTCTTTTCTAGGGAGTCTTCTCTTCTCATGAGATGGCCAAAGTACTGGAGCCTCAGCTTCAGGATCTGTCCTTCCAGTGAGCACTCAGGGTTGATTTCCTTACTACCACCACTCAATATATATTCTTTAATCTTACTTGATGCTCCCACCAGCAGGCAGCAAAAATAATTCAGGAAAGCAAAGAGGGAGGGGAAAAGAGGAAAATAATCTATTAGAAAATCAGCAAAAAAAAAAGAGTACAGTATTCACAGTCACAAATGGAGAACACAATCAAGATGGAGGCACCACAGAGCACACAGATCACACCCGCAAAAGGAAACTGAAACAAAACTTTCTTCACTAGATCCACAAGCAATCCAGGTTCTTCTACAACTCATTCCTGCCCCGGATGTTCTGATTGGCTGCTGACAGCAGTCCTCATGATGCAATTTGTTTAAACATTTCCAAGGCAATTGGACAGACAAGAGGCGAAGGAAAGGGCAAACAAAAGAAAGAAAGCATGAAAGAACCAGAGGCTTTGGTTGTCCTCTCATCCTCCAAAACAAAGCATTTGGATTTCAGAGGCTCTCTTTTTGACTTAAATGAAAGAACATGAAAATGAAAGTAATAGTGTCTTTCATGGTCTACCCCACTCCTTAATTCAGGTAAATCCCAAAGTCCCATCCCTAGTAGCAGGCTTTTTAAATATCATAATTGACACGGGTTTCAAATTGGAGGTGATTGTGTTATAAATAGTAACAATCTCATTGGAATGTCTAGGTAGCTCAGCTGTTCTTAGTATCCAAAGCTGTTAGACTCAGCATTCTTGCTTAGCATCAGAAAGTTAGTCCCTGTGACCATTCAGATCTTTGCCCATTTAGGGTTTCAAGAGACATGGAACTTGGATGATGCCCAAAACTGTAAGCTGATGCCAAAGTGAGATGCTTTCATAACACTTGGTACATGCTTGGAGTGGGGTTGCCCTTTGTGTGGTATGCATCTCGTGTTTGTAGTTAAACTTCAGCTGTAAATGACCTATGCCATTCAGTTTCTTCTTGGAGGTCAATGCAGTCAAACCTGTTTCGACTCGTTAAGCCATCATCTTAAACTTCAGACTGGACAGTAGCGATGGGATTTTTGGATTTACTGAACTAAAAATGATAACTTGGTCCAGCTAAGCCTCAAACTGCCTTTCTACCAGGTGCATCACATTCAGGTGTTTTGAAAGGCTGGGGAAGAATTATGGTATTTGTAGTTCAGAAAATCCAAAAATCTCATTCCTACTGGACAATCTCTGGATCCATTGTGCCTACCTAGGAACCCAACCAGCATCTCACTAAAGAGCAGAAATTTGTTGCCAAGAATTATACAATTGTAGCGTTAGGTAGCCGTGTTAGTCTGTGCTAGCTTTTGTGGACAAGTCCACTTTGTCAGATCATCATTATACAAGGAAATTACACAACTTCCTTTATGCGAGTATAATTCAGTAGTAGGGATATGGAGTGTGACTGTGATTTCCAAAAAGAAGAAGAAGAAGAAAAGAACAAAACAAAACCCCATAAAATTTATGATGTTTTAGCAAATGCAGAAGAAAAATGAGCTGAGTGGGGGCTTTTATTTAAAATAAACATTGCCATGATAAGATTTGTTCCTTTTAAACCCAAAGTCAGTTTCTTTTTTAATTATGGTGCTTTGGAGAGATGTATGTTTCTTCCGGTGTGTGTGCTCATGATACATAAAGCAAACTGATTGTTGGTTTAGACGTATAGCCTGCTCATTTAGTGGACTAGCCACTACTCTTATTTATAACATCGAGTCATGTTCAAGAGCACATAGGGGGTCATAGATTAATTGAGTTGGGATGACTATAAGGTCACTAAGTCTAACTCCCTGCTCAGTGCAAGAATTCAGATCAAAGCAGATCTAACAGATGGTTATCCAGTTTTCTCTTGAATGCCTCCAGCGTTTGAGTGTTCAACACCTCTTGAGGTAATTGGTTCCATTATCACACTGTTCTAACAGTTAAGAATTTTTTTTCTGATATTCAGCCTAAATTCAGTCCTGTACTCTGGGATGATTGAGAACAGATCCTGCCCCTCCCTCTCACTGTCTTTTCAGTAAAGATATATACACCATCCAACTAGGCTTCAAAGATATAAAAGTGACTCTCCATGTGGTTACATGTGCCTTAATGAACAATAGCACATAGCCCCTGATACGTATGGTCAGAGCTTGGACGTTACTAGTTACAAGTACTGTAAAAAGGTAAAGGTTCCCCTTGACAAATTGTCCAGTTGTGTCCGACTCTAGGGTGCGGTGCTCATCCCTGTTTCCAAGCCGTAGAGCCGACGTTTGTCCGAAGACAGTTTCTGCGGTCACGTGGCTGGCATGACTAGACACAGAATGCCGTTACCTTCCCACCATGGCGGTACCTATTCATCTACTCACATTTTTATATGCTTTCGAACTGCTAGGTTGGCGAGGAGCTGGGACAAGCAGTGGAAGCTCACTCCGTTTGTGTGGATTCGAACTGCTGGTCTTTCAGCCTTGCAGCCCAAAGGCTTTGCGGTTTAACCCTCAGCGCCACCACATCCCTAGTAGTACTGTAGTTAGATATAATTAGATTTTTTTATAGCAAACAATATGACTAACAGTAGGTGTCATGAATAAAGTCTAACTTACTTAAAAATAATGCGTATCACATAGTTACTTTCAAAAGTTACCTTGAAGAGCCTTTAAGACATTTTTGATGGGATTTAAACATCTTCAATGGCAGGTATTCTGTCTTTTTATTAATATTAATATTTCTAAGTTGCAGTATCAGAATTAGTTACTAGAGGGACCCAGAGAACATTTCTCTGTCTTTTTCTGGTATGTTGATCAAGACAACGCCACGCATGAATAATATGCAACACAACAAATTGCTTGCCCAATCTGCGTAATGCTCACAGCATCCTGGCTCTAAAGAATGGATGAATAACACGCTGTGTTCCTTTCAAAATACGTTTTAAGTTGCACCTATGACAAATGATATGTTGCTGACTATAGATCACATAGTTCACTGTATACGTGTCTGTGTGTCTCTCTGTGTGTGTTCTAAGCGTAATTTCACTTACCAGTTGGCAATTATTCTTCATTGATTTTACAGTCATATTTCATGCTGCACTGGAAATAAATGTTAACCAGTTGTGCCCTAGTTTAAAAATCAAACCATCTTGTTCATGAAGTTGGTTGGGGGTTTTGTTAGATGGCCCTTAACAGCATGGCCAGCCCTAGTCAGGGGTTCAAAGCATTCATGTAGTTAAGGGAAATCTCCACATCCCACACAGCCCGCTGAACGTTTTCCTCACCCTCCATCATGTGGAAGCCATTGTCTCCAGTCAAGGACAAAAACAGAGAAGGCACCACCAGAGCACTTGTTCCCTTGTTCCTCGCTGTGTGAGTAAATTGAGTGCCTGAATAGGCTATTATCCTGTAGTGACAGGAAAGCTATTTTAATTAAGCCACATTTCATTTCTCTTCTCTTTGTCCTTCTCACTGCATACCACCACAGTCGTTGTTTAGTGTGGGATCACTCCACTCCACTCATTTATCCTACTTTTTTTCTGAATAATACCATCCTCCAGTCATGGGTCTTCCATCTTTTCTTAGACCACAGACTTTTCTTAAATGTCTTCATTCAAAAAAAAGAAGAGGAGAGCGTTCTTCACAGGTGTAGGTGCCATGAGCACTTGAAGGGGAAGGGTGATATGGGCGTTAGTTGTATTTAATATCAGACTTTCAACGATCTTATCTATAAATCAGCCTCATACGTACCGTATTTTCCAGTGTGTAAGGCGACTGGGCGTATAAGACGACCCCCCCAACATTTCCACTCAAAATGTAGAGTTTGTTATATACTTGCTGTATAAGACTACCCCCTCTTCCGCATGCGTGATTCTGGTTCCTTTTGCTGGGAGAGAGCGAGGATTTCCTGGAAGAAGGACAGCATCAGCGCCGAACAGCAGACTGTCAGAAAGCAGCAGAGAGGCGGCAGCCATTTTGGAGTGGCAGCAGCCATTTTGAGAGGCAGCAGCTATGTGGTCGCATCTCAGAATGGCTGCCTCCTCTCTGCTGTTCCCGACAGTCAGCTGTTCGGTGTTAGAGTCAGGTTGTTCCCAGGCTAGGAGCGGGGTCTACTTGGTCTTACTACCAGGTAAATGACTTCGCTGGGAGAGAGGGAGGGTTTGCTGGACATGCACCTGGCGGAGGCATGTTTTTCAGGGCCAAAAAGTCATCTT